AGCTATTTATTATTAGCATTGTTCTTCCGACGTCTGATTTCTCTTTAATTATAGGAAATGCGTTTTTCTAAGGTACATAAACTTTTGGGATTGACTGTATAGCCAATACATCCTTAAATAAGAACGTATCAAAAAAGTAATATGCTTTTTGTGACAAAGGATAAAGCAGCAAGTCTGAATGGAAAATGAATCCCTTTTCAGATTTCCAACGCGATTGTATTTTTAAGAGGAACAGCGTGATAATCAAAAGTTTACGAAGACATAACGTCGAATGAATTACTTTTATCCAGCGGAAAATGAATTACGAAGATAAAGAAAGTTAACGACACCCTCATACCAATATTTATTTTTCCAATCTAATTACCATAGACAGAAGTGTAATGAACACATCGAAAATGTTCCTAAATCGTACATGGACTTGATCAACTGAATTTAAACGCCAGAGGGATACGAAAGTTTGAATGAAAGGAATCCTGCCAGGATTTAATTTCAATAGCCAATAACCAGTATCGTAGATAATGGTCCAAGAGATGGAGGGTACTTGGCGTGAAGTGTCCAAGAATTTAACGAACACGACGAGTCAAGAAGATAGCGACCGCGAACAGGTCGAGAGAATCGTGGCGGTGATCGTGCCGATATTTTTCGGCATGATAGGCATCCTGGGACTCATCGGGAATTTTCTGGTCGTGATCGTGGTCGCCGCGAATCCTGGCATGAGATCCACCACGAACATCCTGATCATCAATCTAGCCGTGGCCGATCTCCTGTTCGTCATATTTTGTATACCCTTCACCGCGACCGATTTCGTACTACCGTTCTGGCCGTTCGGTAACTTCTGGTGCAAGATGGTCCAGTACCTGATCATCGTCACTGCTTTCGCGAGTGTTTATACTTTGGTCCTCATGAGCCTCGATAGGTGAGTCTCGGTCGTACCATCGTGCATAGTGTGTTCCAGCATCTGCATGCTTGTGTTGTTCATCCGAGCGTCTTACGTTCGTGTTCGCATATTGTGCTTCGAGCTGAACCCATTCTTGCAATGCCAATATTTGAATTTCACAGATAGTGGTACTGAATTTCGTCTAACTAGCTTCGGTCGCGTACTGCTTTCAAGGTTGACGTTTCCAACACGAAACTTTGCGAATCATCAAGGACAGGCGAGAACAGACGCCAAGCTGAGAACGAATGCCCTGCCTGCATCTGTTACATTGTTACCAAGTTGAAACTCATAAACCATGTCTTACGAATTACATTCCCAACCATTTTGAATCAGTAAATAGCTTCGTAAATTCGCAATCGGGTGAACTGTTGTAAAATAGATCGTTCATGGTGCTATCGTTTGTATAAGAAATTTTGCCAAATTTAGAATCAATCGAATATATTCGTAGTCCATGAGAAAGTACCGGTTTCTATGATCAAGAGAGAACTATGCCGCGGATATAGTTTCCCGATCACGAACTTGTAATTAACAACTAGGTTAATCACGAATCCCCTGATAGCTTGCATAATTCAATTCATTGGCTTTTATCCAAGTCAATTAGCATCCATAATTCACCATTCACGTTTAGCGTGTTATGCACGAAACGCGTATTTTGAAAGTAAACGTGTCCATCATCGCCTAAACTGTACGTCATCATATTAATACGCTACTTTTTAATTCGTAGCTAAGCGATATAATGAATATGGTTTAATATCCATAATAAATTGATTATTCTGACGTATCGTAATGAATTTGCGTTCTGCTTATTACAGATACTTGGCAGTGGTTCACCCCATCACTTCTATTACATGGAGAACCGAGAATTATGCCATCGTCGCAATTTGCATCGCCTGGGCGATGATCCTCGCAATATCGGCGCCTGCTTTCTTCATCCACGGCGAGGTAAGTCTTATTCGCAAACATTACAGTCCTGAAGTAAATTTCGCTCGAATCTGCATTAAGTTGATAAAGTCTGCCGATATAATCTACGACTAAGTGTGGAAATTTAATTCAATGATTCTCCAAGAGATTAGATTCTCTCTGAATTCGTATCTATTCTCTATGCATATATTGATTCCGTTTTTCGGAACCTGCATTGAACGCGAAAAATTTTGTCGAACTAACACCTCTCGCTGATTGACTCCTTCCATTCAGTTATGCGTTACCGACCGTATTGGAACAATCAGATAACAATATAAAGTGATTAAAAATTGTATGAAAAAATTCTTTTCCAAATTCCAGCCGGCATGCATTAAAAAAAGGAACAGCAAACAACTCTTGTACGAACTTGTGATTGTCTATTGACTTGTTAACCGGAGAGGACAAAAGAATCGTTAGGAATCGAAACGAATTATCGATATTTAACGAAATTGGTTTAACTAATACTATGAAACTAATTAAAAATAAATTGATGAGACGAACGGGTTCCAAAATAATATTCCGGCGATGGTACTGGAAAATTGAAATGGATGGAAGGAAAATTTTACCGATTCCTCATCTATCCGGGTAATTCCCCAATGAGTGTTCTTACTGTAATTACTTTCGGATGAAATGAACGCACTCTGCCAGACAGCTGTAATCATTCATAACCGGCTGCCCTCCTCTGTAAACATAAAACTATGATAACCTGGCCAATTCCCATTTCGGGATTTTATTACGCGACGTAATCGTAATTAAATCTCAATTTGCTTGTTCCATTTCGAAAATAACATTTTTCTTGTCTCGACTGCAATTTTATTTCATATCTCGCGCTTTAGTAACTGAGCTAAAGTTTTATGAAGTGAGAGCAGTAATTTTCACTAATCTAATATCTTCATGTACTTTAGAAATTTATTTCGCCTCATATACATATAAGTACGACGTCACGCCTATACATATAGCAATTTTCACTAATCTAAAGTGTCATCTACGATCCATTGGCATTCGTATAAAAGTTAGCCACGTAAAAACGATGTGTCGCTCCTAATTGTCCTTAGTATATTTTCCGGCAGTAATGACTGATGAAACATGCTAGGCGTTCAAGTGAACATCGTTGCGGCCGTTTTGTGCAAATTTCATTGAACCTCCTTCAAATACACGCGTAGCTCATTGTTGCCGGCGTTACACATGATTTTCCACCGACGGAAGTGACAGAAATAACCGTTTCTATGTTCGTACTGGTGATCGTTCCGATGATTATAGCTACACCGTATTTTAGGGTTCGCGTGTACGACACGTGCAATTCGAACGCGATGCGGAGAGCTGTAAATCACGGCGTACGTTCTCCACGTGCGTCAAATGCGCATTCGTACGATAGTTGCACCAAGAGAGAATCTAATTTTCCAATCGATTTCAGTGATTTACATTTATCAAAATTTTCTTACGTTTCAAACGCGTTACGTCTCATCCATTTTTCGTTTTTTTTTTCACACGTTTCTTGAGTTATTAATTTGGAACAGTAATTCTAATAAAATCTATGACAGAGATTAATGATATTACAATATTCGATATTGGAACGTTCCAATATGAAACATAATTTAGAAATTGTCACGGTTGCGAGAACTCTCTTTTCATAGATATGAATTTTTTTTCTAGTTCCAGGAGGACTCGTCGAACGGAACGACTTGTCGGATTCTGCCGCAGTACAGCTGGCCGACGTTCCAGATCTCGTTTTTCCTAGTTAGCTACCTGCTGCCGCTGTTGCTGATATGCTTCTTTTACATTTGCATGCTTATCAGACTCTGGCGCGGCGATCGCGTGAGCGCCGAGAGCGCCGAGAGGAGAAGACGAGTCACGACGCTTGTTTTCGTCGTCGTGGGAGTTTTCGCCTTCTGTTGGTGTCCTATACAGGTTAGTTATTCGCTTATTAGTCACAGAACGTTGCCCGTAGCGCTGTTATGTTTCTGTTCACCGGACGTAACTATAAATACGAGGCACGGATTTGCAACATTCGCTGCGGATCAGATCAAAAGCCCGTTATGTAATACTTGATACTTTTTATAATTTTTGAAAAATATTTTACACTCGAATATTTTCCAAGCGGCTTATATTCGTTAACAATGATAGAACGTTTTGGTAGACGGGGAACAAAAGAGCAACGAGTGTTTTATTCAGTACGTTCGTTCCCAGAAAAATACTGTATATCTAACGCCTGAAATTCGTGACTACAAAATTCCTATTATGAATCTGATGGAAAATTCATCAGATTAGTACAATGGTAGAATATTCATGACGCTGTAAATATTACATCGCGTTCTCATTTTCATTTTCATTATGTAACAAGCATTTTATTCGGTGCAACTTTTCCCAAGGAAGCACTGTATATCTGAAACTGAACTCCGTGCCCGCAAAATTCTTATTAACGGGTTGATAGAAAATTCATCGGATTAGGTGGTTTGTGATAAAGTATTTACGATACTGTAAATGAATTTCGTAATACGTTCTAATTTTCATCCTACGTGTCTCGCCGAGCCGAGAGATTTCGTTATCGTACAAATCACGTTCACCATCGATCCGGTATCGCCGGTAATTAAACGATACACTATCCCGCGAATTTCAAGGGTGACTTCCGATGGAAAAAATTTACGAGCGGCGCGGGTTCAATGTAATTAAGCGGCACGCTATTCGTGTTAATGGAGATGGAAGATGAATCGCGAAAGAAAATTCGGTGATTTGATGTTTTACGCGGCTAATAGGGAGTGTCATGACGAGATTTATCGGCACTGTTTCAAACTTCACCATTATCGAGGTAATTGAGCAGATTTAATCAATCCGTTGACTGATCGGAATTGACAATATTTCACGTAGTTTACATGAAACTGAAAAATAACTGTAGACACTCCGTTCGATAAAAGAAACAAGGATAAAAACTTGGTGAAAGTACGTTCGAGCGCGCCACGTCGAGATTTTAAGATTAAAACGCAGCGTTTGTTCCTTTTTCGATCTCCCGCTGTGATTTTTCGCTTACGTTCAGTCTGACTACTGTTTCACGTTATACTTCTCACGACGCTGTGGAAACATCGAACGCGCCACGTTTTATCAAGTTTCCTGCTGTGAAATATTTTTCTTTGAAAACGCATTGGTCATGGAATGAGCGTACGTAGAACTATGTAGCGTTACGTTTGCTTAGCGGAATTGGAATTTGGACAGCTGCGTTAGGAATATATTTTTGTCTACCATTTTTCATGAGAACAGTCTCGATTTTCCAATAACGTAGCACTTTGTAATATTCTCTGCAATTTTTCCTTCTGTGTAAAGGTGATCCTGGTGACGAAGTCATTGGACATGTACCCGGCGTCGTCGGCGACGATAATGGTGCAAATAACCAGCCACATTTTGGCGTACATGAACAGCTGCGTCAACCCCATCCTGTACGCATTCCTCAGCGACAGTTTCCGAAAAGCATTTCGAAAAATAATTTACTGCAGACCACGGTCGGACCAGGATAGACAACTGGGACCATTGACGAGAACCACAAGAGCTGCCAGTGCCGGTGACATCATTTAGGTGAGTTTTTCATTAGATTTTTCATACCAATCAGTTTTGTTAAAAAAATTTCATAGCTTGTTCGAGTTTTTCTATTGATATTGTTCGTTCGGACAGAAGGAAACCAGTGTCTATTCGAAATTCAAAGAAGATTATATATTTGCTTATGTTTCCTAATTTGTAAAAATTGTTTAGCCGTAAATCCTTTGAGGCGCCAACGTGCGTACAAACTTTTCCATTCGCGTTCGAAAATTCCAGGATAGTATTAATTACTTAGCAGGCAATTAGCGTCTCATAATAGCAAGTAGACGCGCCTTTCGTCTTAGTCGCTCCTCGACCTCCGGGAAAAACTTCTTTTGTTTGATAGACGAGTCCCGGGGGCTTTGAAAACACATTTCGTTCTTCTTCTTCTTCTTCTTCTTCTTCTTCTTCTTCTTCCCCCTCATCCTTCTCCCTTTTTTCCCCGCTCTCCAGGGCGCTACTTGTGTCGCTGTAGGCGTAGATCCTCGAATTGAAAATGCAAGGCCATCGTTGCTGGTGCTCATAGTAGTCATCTAGGTTGCACCGGCGGCCTCGCTCCGCTGGCACCAGTAAATTACGTTTCCTTGTTCCACTGCGAATACTGTTTTCCTTATTTTCCATCTCATCAGTGAAACCTGCGTGTCGCTAACTCTTTGTCGAATTATCGCCGATTGAAGTTCGCTTATAATAATGTTGTAGTTTCTATCAAAATTATTATACGTTCAAACTGTTGGAGCAGTCAATAGTCGTTCCGACTTGGCGGAGCAATTTGAAACATCCGAAAACTTCTCGCTACGGGGGACGCCGCGCCGGTACGTGTAGTCGAAAACTTCCGTCGATCGACGTGAAACTTTTACGTATCCCGTCGAAACGTAAATGGATTTTATCGAGTATTACAAATTACAATTCCCATGAATGGATCTTTGAATAAACGTGACTAAACCGATAGGAGCACTTGCGTTAATTGAAAATCGGCTCAAAGCGAAATCCAACGCAAATTTACAAATTCCATGCATGGTATTAATGATTTGCATATCTGCATTTCGATAGTCGCAAAAGGGATAGTTGATTTTACCTCTGCTCGCAGTATCAATTTTGGGGAACGTCGTTCGTTCAAAGCGAATACACCTTGAGCCAGCAATAAGTTGAATGCTAAAAAACTGAGCTTAAAGAAAATGACGGGTACTTCGTGAAAGTTCCGATGTTTATTAATGGTTCGACTTATATTGGTTGTTATAAAAAAATTTGTTAGCCAACTTTTCTATCGTGCACGTAAAACATTTCTAGTACCTCCGTTTTAAGTCCGCACTCGGTTCCAATGTCCCGAAAATAAATGGTAGATATCTTCTTTCCTGACGTATAACGTCGTTCTTTACTTGCTGCCTCCTTATTCGTCCTCGTACAAACCGTACGAAGTGGGTACGTGTTTCTTTAAGAGTATTCACCAGTAAAACTGACTGCTTTGTCTCACGTGGCTCGAATGGAACCACCGTAGGATACGTCCACGTTGAATACGAACAAAACAAGTGGAAGACGGTATAGCGTTTTCATCGTTCTTTTTCTCTTCTCCTCCGTGTATTGAGTTTCTTCTTCGCTTCTTCGTTTTCTTTTTAATATCGATCCTTTTGGAAAGATTCCCCGTCAGGGAGTTGAAATGGCACGCGGGAGCTTTGTTTCACTCGCCGCGAGGAAATAAACTCGAACGACTCGGTTACTCACTCCCGTCCGTTCGCGCAATCTTCATCCCTTACCGTACACGACGTAACTTACATCGTAGAAGAAGCTTGAATGGGCAATAGGTGCGGACGTAAATCACAGAAGCGTGCGCTACATCGGAGCCATTGTAAATTTTGCCGGACGTGAAAAGGGCGGCTAGGTACACGAGAGAGACTTGAGCGTTTCACGATGCCCGGGAACGTACATACGCGGAACATCCAGTCGTCTCATTCAACGAACATGTCCATTTGTACCTCTTACCATCGCTCTGTCACTAATACAAGTACGTCTTCCTCGATCTTCTCCCTTCATACGATTCCTGCTGACTGCCTCCTGAATCGAATTCAAACAATTCATTTCATCAAAAGCATCCAACTTTTTAAGTAGATTTTTTGAATACAGAACATACTAAAAATACAAAGGAATATAAGTCGGATTTATGTGGATCTGGTTCGAGCTTGTTAAATCATCGATCCATTCACCGAATGCGATTTTCCATAGAATTGTTAGAGCATTCGTGGAGAAAGGATAAGCGAACACTGCGTGAGCGTATGTGTATTCATATCGCGTAGGTTTATCGATGCTAATGCAGCTTTACCGAATTACGGGAGGATTTAGAACTTTTTTCATTAGACCACACGAGACCGTTTATGAGTCGGATAACTCCAAGCCGAAAAGAAAGGAGCCGGTGCGATTAACGCGTTCAAAGTGAAAATGGACAGGCGTACCGCCTACTGATAGAGCAAAATCAACGGTGACAAACAACGATCACTAGTAATTAAAAGCTACTCGTAAAAGAAAAGTTTATGATTAACTTTATATCATATAACTATTTTCTTTTTAATTAAGAAGTTTCGAGAGTTTCTTTTTACGCTTCCTTCTTATTTCTTATTTCTTAAACTTGGAAGATATCTTTACTTTTTTATACGTTTAATAAGAATAGACTCGATTCGCTGATTGCACTTGCGCTGGGTTTAAACGTCTGTAACAATTTTATAAAATTCCGGAAATAAGGTTAAGCCTGTAAAAGCGGATTGAAGATCAAAAAGATAATGCTGTGTAAGAATATGTAAGAGCATAATATAGTTTCCATTTTATTTTTCCTGGGAAAACGGATTTCGAGGCGCAATCCTTTCGCTCTTGTCAAATAAAACTCGCGTAATACTATCCTTAAATACAAATTTTGCGAATACGTACACCGTTTCAGATTTTAGATAGCGAGGTGGAAAAATGAAATCGAATCGCGTTTATTAAAATAGAGAAAATTGGACCAATGTCATAAGACAAGATAAGCTTGGGGGTTCAATTTTGTTAAACCGATGAAAATTGAATATATAAATTAGAACGTCGTATAAATAAATCTTTTCAAGCAGTTCTCTTCATAGTTTTGTATTTTAAATTATCATTTATCATTGAGTACAAAAGTTAGGAAAACGCGTATTAATAATTAATGACAAATAGTTCAGTGAAATTGTGAAGTATTTCTGACAGAAATTACTAGCTAACACTCGCGTTATTATTCGATTTAATTGCTCGGGGAACAGCGCTTCCTTCGAAGTCGCTTATCTAACATTCCATTTAGAGAATCTCTAATTGTACTACATCGGTTTCCCACTCCAGAGCCTATGAAAAACCAAGGAGTATTGATTTTAGCTTAATAGTTTCTGGAAATCCCATTAAACACGAGGCTCGCGAGGGTCGACCCGGAGGAAATTGATCCCGGCACGTGTAGGTCGACCCTTTTACAAAGGGTTGGTACAAGGAAACAAGACATTTTTTCCGTTTGAACTTGATCATCATTAGATTACATGACGCGTCCAATTTTTCATCCGCCTTGCTGACAAAATGATGGCTCGGTCACTCGTGGAGCACGCGAAGTTACACAAGGAGGTAATATGTCAATCTTAACGTGAAAGGAGACGTGGAAGAATCCCCAAAGCAATTTTCAGATATAACTCCTAATAACGGAATCGTGTGTGCTCGTAAACATCGTTGGGGATGTCGCAGCCCCTCGAGGATGTTCGTTTTAATTTATTTTGTATCCGAGTGCAGTCCCTGTGAGGACGATGTGAGAAACTCGAATTGAATTGCCGCTTCTCCCTTGCCGATGCTAAAAAAATCTATTGGTCAATTTCGTCTGAAAGGGAAAGATGTACGTTTTTCAAGAGCCAGCGTTATCGTTTCCTCTCACGATATCAATTCAAGTAGGCGGAACGGGATCCCTTGCTATTCATCGTTTCTGAAATAATGAGTAGCGTGAAGAAAAACAGCCTATAGGAAATACGTCGCCGTCAATGATTCATGTTAGGCGCGTGTTCTCTATGAATACGTAATTTCTTGATTTCCGAGGCCTAAATCGATTTCTCTCAATGGCCGGACACTGATACGATTCGTATATCAAAAATATTGGAAATGGACCCGATTTCGTTGCTTCTTCGCCGGACTTGATTACAATCTTCTGATTTATCGATCATGCGGGACGAACGGAATGCGAAAATAGGAGTTATGTCGGTTCTTATGACTCGATAAAGAATTCCTGGATACCAGGTCAACCTCTGCGATCCTACTTTTGAATCCACGGGTATCGGGGATAATAAGACCTGCGAAGAGGGATGAAACCGGGGGAGAGAGAATGGTACTAATTTTAGAAGTACTGTTCACTAGAGGCTTGGACTGTCGTGAAAGAATCGCAGGCAGAAGGGGAATCCACGTACTCTTGTGTCTTATCTTGTGCTTATGCGCCGGCTCTTTTTGTCTCCGGATAAGTTTTGACCATTTCGTGGTCTATCGCAACACTTTAATCTGTGTCAAAGTAATTCTACGATTCTTACCGTGCTTCATATTACTTCTCGACTGCGTATTTTTCGTATGCATCGGTATTTGTTGAGTTCGCTGTTCGCCAGGATAATTGACTGAAAACAGAAAGTTTCATAGTTTCATACGGTGGATCCTGTGTTTGAAATGCTTCTCGTTGCTGGCAATCTTGGTGCTGATAAGATGTACGGAATTGTGGCAAAGTTTTAGACTGCCTGGTTTCTGGTTCTAGTTAGATACTTGTATGACTTCCATAACTAATTTTTGGTTGTTGCCTTCATTTCTCGTTCGCAAACATTTGTGTAATTCTCAAATAGAATTTATAATAAACGTGTAATAGAATTAAGAATGTACAAGGTATAAGAAGAGAAAACCCTTCTTCAAGTAAAAAGAATATAAATAAAGAATTCTCAGATGTAATATTAACTGGGGAGTGAGTATAATTCGGTTTCGCAAATAAGTAAATTGAG